TGCACGGGCGAGAGCGCGGGGATACATTGCTCTCACTTGGGAGCCGGCTCGCGACAGGCCCTACTGCGCCGCGGGCAAGTGTTGCGTGGAGACAGCGTGTCCGACTCGAAACCAGCAGGAGCCGCGGAGTGGAGGCCGCCACCATGCTCTGGGATATGCTCAAGTACCACGAGCAGATCTACCTGTCTCTCCTTGAGTCGCGCTGCTGCCAGCACGGGTTTAATCCTGCCGTTTCGGCGGTGCGACGCGCGGCGTGCCGAGGCGGCAGGTGCATGGTGTTGGCCTCTATTGTGTTTCCGTGCAGTATGCCCTGCGCGGCGTTGTCGCTGGTTTCGGGTTTGTCACCGCTATGATTCACGTTTTTTTGTTCGATGCTTTCGATTCGGTTTCGACCCCTGGGGGCCTGTCTCCTGACCTCTATACTGAGGACGCTGGGCGCGAGGCTATGGGGCCCATCGGTTCGGTCGTCGGGGGGCTCGTCGAGTCGGGCAACGAGCTGCGTCGAGGGATCACCGAAATCATGGTCGCTGAGATTTCCATGGGCAAACTGGCCATGGTCTGTTCCTCTCAGCCCGTGGCGTCCAGGCTCCAGCAGCACTTCGGCCCGTTGGCCGGTCCTCCTCAGGAGTCGGCGGTCAACTTAGGGATTGACAAAGCTGGAGGGATGGCCAGGAGTGCGCGGGGCAGGAACGGCACAGACAAATCCAGGACTGCTGAGGTGGCCCGACGAACTTCTTGGTGGAAGCGTCACGAGGCCATCCTGGGCCGAAGAGCGCGCAAGATTTGTGTGGCGGGAGCCCTCTCTGCTTCGCAGCATGGCTGCGAGGCCCGCGGTTTTCCAGACGGAGAGTTGGCCGAGGTTCGTCGCCTTGCTGGGGCGTCTTTCAAACCTTCCGCGGGAGGGCGCTCCCTGTGCTCTCTTCTAAGGCTCGAGGGCGATCCGACGTGTCTCGGCGCGGGAGCCCCTATCTTGCGCAACGCGCCCGAAGTGTGGCTTCGTCGCACCTCCACCACCCCCTCGGCTTTCTCTTGGGAGTTTCCGATGGGGCTCTTGGAACCAGGCCTTCGGCGGGCCTTGCCCAATTTGGGGGGCGGCGGCAGGCCCCCCGGGGGCCGCGCGGCTGTCGCCGGCCGGGCTTAAGTGGACCAGGTCTCAGTCTTTCGGGTATGTGGATGACCTCGGGGTTCCCTGCTCTTTTATCCTCGCCTCCCCTGCCTGGCTCAGGCAGGTCCTTCTGGGTCTTCTTGCAGGCTTGAGGAGCGCGAGGCGCTGCGTCCGCGCCGTCTGCTGCAACGGTATCTGACTTGTGTCTCGCGCGCTGACCGCGCCTGCGCGCCAGATGCGGAGAACCAGGCGATGCAGTGTTTCAGCGCCCGCGGGTTTGAAAGCCCTGCGAGGAGTTGCGAGCCGAGCTCGTCCTGGCCCAGGTTTTGGAGTGCGCCAGACGGCTGGTCCATGCGCGTGCTGAACGGTTTCAGCTTGAGGCAGGTCTTTTCCTCCACCCTGGTGACCGGTGACCCAGACTCCTCGGACAGGACGAAGATTTCGCCCATCGGAGTTTTAGGGCTTTTGAGGCTGCTGGGCTGGTCGCCTCTTGCGACGCATCCAGTGGCTTCGCCGTGCGCCCTGGCGAGGGCGGGGAGCTGGCGGGGGATCTCTGTCTGGGCGGCTCGCGTCAGGATTCTCCGATCAACGAGCTTTGGAGTGCGGGGTGGGGGGCGGGCGAGCTCTCGCCTGCCGGGGGGTATAGGGCCCTCCTGTGCGGCCCCCTCTCTTCCAGCTATCCCCGGACTGGCCGAGCTGCTGGGTTCGGGGCCCCAGCGCGCGCGGCAGCGTGCCTCTCTCTCGCCCCGCCCCGTGCGTTTCAGGAGTGATTGTCATGATATTGTGAAGCTGAGGTCTCTTCCTAGGCCCGGGCGTTATGTGCGTCGGCGCAGGTGCGCGGGCCTTCCGTTGCAAGCGGGCGCCTTGTCCGATGGTGTAATCTCTGGCGCGGGAAAGTTCGGGGCTCATTTGGAATAAAACCCCTCCCTGGACAACCCCCCTGGGCGCGGGCCGACCTGGGCGGTGTTCAGTTGGCGCCGAGGCCGACGGCGGCCAAATAGCAGTTTCCTGGCCGCGAATGGATCCTCGCGGGGCACTCCTTCCGGATTTCTCGGCAGCGCGTTCGCTGCCCCAGGGGCTCGCGCGCCAAGGCGCGTCCCCCAGCGGGCAGGCGCGCCCGCCGCCTCGAGGCCGGCCCCCTCTTTTCGAAGAAGCACCAGCGTTTCGTTCTCACTGGCTGCGGCGACGCGTCGTCCGCGCGCGTTTGCCAGCGATGCAGCTGCTACGCCCCAGTTGGGCGGCTTGCAGAACTTTGCAAAAGGTATGGGCCCCTCGCGGGGCCGCGAAAGAGTGCGAATTGGAGGGCGCTCGGCGTGGGTCCCCATCTCGCCTGGGATGGGGTCGCAGTCGACGTCTCCGCTGTTTTACTCATCTAACTGGGCCTTCAGCCGTGGGTGTCAACAGGCGCGACCCGCGCAAATTCCCCTCTCCTTGGGCCACTGTTAATCCAACAGTGCATCGAGACGAAGGACTTCGCGCTCATGGCAGACTCCCCTGCGCTATGTGGACTCACGTACAGCGCGGGGATTGGCCAGCACATGCCATGAAAGGGATGGCATGCATCTACTTCATGTATACGTAGCTCTGACACATCAGCGCCGGGAGTATTCAGCCACGCGCAACGCGCATCCCACCGCGTCGACAGACTGGACTTATAACTTCTATTCGGCACGCGCAGGAATCAGGTATTATGTCATTCTCATGAAGCACGGGCCAGGGCAACTACTGCACATCTTCAACGTGCTCTTACAAGTTGGATGCCCGTGGATGGAACAAGTCAAAGGGAATTTCCAGAACCGGCGCTCCCCGCTCAAACGCACGGACATGCGAGAATGCACGGCCAGGGAAAAACAAGATTCAAGAAAACGACGACTACTGAGCAGCTATGCGCTGGGCACAGGAGAACGCCAAGCGCGCGGCATGGCGCAAAAGGGTTTCACCAGCGACTTGGACTTCTCGGAATACAGCCACTTCCCAGACACGCGCCACGTTCAACTGTGGAGCTCAGATTCTCGTGCCCAAGTTGCCCCCATACGATGGCAACGACAGGGCGCCCGGGCTATGCGTATCGCAGAGCACCGCCGAGGGCTGGGCCATGTTCGTAACTGCGTGTAAGATGGACAGTGCAGAGCAAACGGCATGGACCGTGCCGTGCTAGACCGCGACTACTCGTGCATCTGACCTGCAGACAGAGAACGCGCGCTTGTCTCATGGAGTTTTACGTCGGCAGACTACCTCGCGAACGAGTGCGAGAGCTCGACCAAAGTGAGAAAGAGGTTGCTGCAGCGTTGCGGTGGGCGGGCTACTACAACGAGGCCGAAGCCATGGAACCAGCTATCAGAAACCACAAAGTTGTATCCCTGCTTTTGCCAGAAGGCGAATGGGTAGATCACGCAAAAGAGCCCCCCCCTGATGTACAGGAGGTACAATAAGGTGAGGATACTGTACGCGTCGCGGGATACCATCCCGAATCTCCTTCAACGCGAGATCCACTACGACCTGCGCTTTTTTCTCGGGTCCACGACGCGACCAAAACGTGCTGCGTGACGTCGGGGCCGACCCTGATTTCCCGGTGACAGTCGTTAGCTTGGACGCCGCGAACGACCTGCACTTGGGCAGCCCGCCGCACGCAGAAGCCAGGAGGTTTTCGATTGCACCCATAAGAGCCGGACTGGTAGCAGTAGGTATACATGCAGGGCCGCTGCGCGAAACCAGGAGTAGAGCGCGCTGGAGCACCACTCGTAACCGACAATGTGGAGGGCCCAGACCGCCGCGAGACACTGGCGAACCTCGGAGACACAAATGGCTAAGCGCCAGGGAGCGGGCACAGATAGGCGTGGGCAATGGCCTCTTACGAGTTACCTTGGAGTTTCTACTTGGAACAACAATGCTGAGCATTCCTGCAACGATGAAGGATCAATGTATGCTGGCATGGAGTGCGCGTTGCTCATCGACATGGAGATTATTCGAGACGAGTGCCCTATTCAACTAACATGACCAGCTTCGGCCAGTGGATGTTTGCATGCAACAATAGAAACCGACCGCGCTACTATGTGTAAACCTATCTAGGGAAGCCGACGTACTTGCGCAACTGGAGCACCAAGGAGGTTGCCACGACCAGCAAGGACATATCGCGTTTTTGGATACCAGTCGCACGAGCAATGTCGCCCCCGCGCCACTCAAGGAGTATTCCTTCGGATTCCAAATCTTCATCGGCAAGGTGTGCAAGGGCGCTTGGATTACGCTACTGCATCAAGGACAGGCGCGTGCATGTGTGCACGTTCAAACAGATATATTCTCATGCGAAGCTGATGTGCAGCGCCAAATGAAGGCCGACTTCGCTGGCCGCACAGTTGACATACTTGCCGACGGTACATCGCCGCTTCATTTACGAGACATGTAAGAAGAACCATGCAAAGCCACAGAGGATGCAGATGACGACGCACGACATGAAGCAGATCGTGCGCCGGTTGCACAGCAAGCTAAGGCGATGCTACGACCTTGCCCATATAGGATATACCAGCCTACATCACCAGCACCACCAGCCGTGCTTACTTACATACCTACATGCCAAAAATTGTTCTTGCCGTGGGATGCCGCGGGACAGGCTCCACCGTGCATCATGTATGTACAAGTGGGATCACATCGCCGCAGCCGCTTGTCTACCAAGGGATCTGAACTCTCGCGCAGACTCCTCGTGCAGAAGCACCGCAGTCTCTGCGCTGGGTGCATTGGCTGTCTTCGAGAAGTACCGCACTTCTGAGGTCGTCAAAGGTGCGGCGCAGGACGAACTCCACGTGGAGGTGGCCCTCTACGGCGCAGATGCGATCCTGTGCACGGCCGATGAGAAGACGGTGGGCGACTGCGATAACATGTGGTTGCAGGTCATCGCAAGGTGCGCTCGCAAGAGTACGACCGCTACAACAACGAGGACATTGCCTACTTCAAGATTGCCGACGTCAGCGAAGCCGTCGCGCACAGCATCAAACGTTGTCAGAACAAGCCTTTGCGTTTCTGCAAGGCCTCGGGAGAATGCGCGAATAATGCTCTCGCGGTCGACAGGCGCCCAGGCTCGATTCATGACATCAGGAAAGAGCCGGCGCCACTGCAGCCGGAGTTCCTCGCGCGACATTTGTGGTCCATCTACGTGGCGGTCGAGAACTGGCCCGAGTTGGTCCGCGCCATGTACTACCTTGCTTCGAGCCGCCAGGCGAGATGAACTACGTCGCGATCTGGTTCTCCGCAAGTGGCGCAATGGGCGCGGGCGTGTCCGAGCGCCAGTTGCGCGCAAAGCTCTCCGGCTGCAAGCGCGACTGCCTGCCGATGTACCTTGACCAGATAGTCATCTGCAGTAGCTGCATGGAGTCGAGCGCGGCCGGTGCCCGGGCCAACTTGCACTCCGCTCCGTGCGAGCCCAACGGGGTGAACGAGGTCGACAATTTCTTCTCGTCGCAACATGATCTGCAAGTGCGTCCACGAATGCCAGTGGAACGACGACGACATGCAGGCGGAGTTCGACCGCTTGCGCTTCGTGGGCACTACAATCGAGGAGCACATCTCTACCGTTGGCCAGTGCGTGGAGGGCTACGACAGGGAGTGCGACGAGGTTGCGCAGTGCCCGTTCGAGGGCGACGTCGAGCTTGAGGATGCCGCCAAAGGGGGCGAGGCCTTCGGGAACTATCAGTGCCGGGGCTAGATCAACGGCGAGGAGGTCACTGGCGCGCCTGCCGCAGGCGCGCAGAAGCGCCGGCGCGCGCAGTAGTCAGGCACGGGCTACCTTGCGCCAAGTCTACACCGGCACGTGCCCATCGCCAGCCCTACCCGGCAAGAAGGATTACCGCATCATCACCCCTCATCACCCCATTCTCTTACCAGGCGTGCTGTAGCACTTCGGATATCGCTTGTGCGTGTACCTGCCACCGCAGGACAACGGCCGCATGCTTGCGGTGTCGCGCGTAACTCCATGCTTGTACATGCGCGGGATAGCACGGGACAGCGCTATTGCCAACAGGCACACGCTTACCATGACCAAGAAACATGTAGCACTACGCTTGTTACATGTGCGCGCGTTGATGCCGTGGGACAGCGGTTGCATGACGTCGCTGCGGAAAACTGATACTACTTGACATGTGCTGCTTGCCAGACGGGTACGCTCACCCACAGTCACTACTATGTTGCACCCACCCGCCCGCTCGCGTATTGCCCTACTCATCTACAAGCCATTCGTCTCATAGCATCTACGCGCATATTATTCGTGCATCATGGGCGGTGTGAACCACAGACGCATCGATGGTACGCTGGGAGAATACCAGTTTGTGGAGACAGGCACATGGTTGCGAGACCTCGCGTACCAAAACAAGCGGATACTAATTGTTTCACAGGTTACAATTGCAGAAAATGGGAGACATTAGATGCTTTGCGATCCGAGACATAAAGGTGGCCAGGCGAAATTAATTCAAGGGTTTACACAGCAAGCAGATCAACGCCTACAAGACCAAACGCTCGAATGATGTATATATAGTATATGTATATAGGTATATGAGTTTGCCGTTGGCGGCCGAGCTGACGGACCGCGCTCCGGACAAGGACCGCCTGTGCCATGCCGGGACGAATCCTGGCACGCTGCCAGAAATTATATGCTGTCCGAGAGTCAGCCATGCGATCCCGCGGCAAGGTTCGGCTCTTACCTGCTGTGGATGCCCGACAGGGACGACTACGTCATAGGCGCGCTCCTATAAGGTGACATCTCAAGAAAACAAGCGCTGCCAAGGTATACAGGCAACAGTGTGGCATAGGACCAAACGTATACACGCACATGAAGATCTATTTCATGAGCTACAACTTTCATGATACGGCTTTGGACACAAGCACGACACTTCACTACCAGCCCACGATCACAGGTGGCAGTCAGTATTGCGTGGGCGCGCTGGACCCCCAAAGCAACCCCATCACGCGGGACTACGTGAACAATTACGGCCTGCCTCCCCCGTGTGAGAACAACGGTAAGCGCACGCTACATATCCATTACGCACATCATAAGCGTGCGCGCGGAGAGACCGACGATGACGATCATTAAGACATACTACATCGATCAACATATATTCAATACTGATACAGGCTACCGACAGCTGGAGGAGCGTACGCCGTCTTCAGCGCAAGTCCCCACGAGGTTTCCCCGCAGGCCTCGAGTGTCCCGCCGACCCCCCCCTTTCCATGGAACCCATCTGGCGTTTCGCGCCTTTCTTCGCCCCTCCACTTTATCGCCCCCATCAATCAACGCCCGAGAGTCCCACCTCAATGAGAAAATGCCCCCCACGACGACGTCGGCCGTTGGCCTCACTATACGTCGGCCTCGGGCAACGCCAGACGTAGGGCGGCCTTTGGCCATGCCCTCTTGAGTGTCCATCGACGTCCGGCGGGCGGGCCGGCTCATCCAGGCGACTTGCTATGGGAGTGTGTGTTCCGGTGGCAATGTTAACCAACGTCGGCCCCGAACAGCATGTTCTTGCAATGTGAATCTGCAGGCTATGTGGTGCAAGCTGCGGTGGGGGCGTTGGTTAAGGAATGTGCCAGGGAGATTTCAGAGCCAGGGATATTCCTCATCCAATGAGGGCGGCAGCGATATCCATGGTCGATCCACGATTGGAGTTCCATTGGCTTCCAGACACTGGATCTCTGAGCCAGTGGTTCCTTATCCAATGCCCTCCCCGTGTGTGGTGTAATCCATCTGGCGCAGTCTATGTTGTACAAGGCAGGAGCGGCAACAAAACGGCAACGGGCGACAACATGCGAAACCTCGCCAGGCCCACCTAACGCACGAGGCGGCAACGAGGCGGCAATATGCGGCGGCCACATGGCGAAGCCTCGCCAGACCCACCCAGCGCACGAGGCAGCAACCAGGCGGCAACAGGCGGCGGCCATGTGGCGAAACCTCGACGGGCCCACGTAACGCACGAGGCGGCGGCAACGAGGCGGCAACGGGCGGCAATGTTGCGAAACCTCGCCGGACCCACTCAGCGCACGAGGCGGCAACGAGGCGGTAACGGACGGCAGCGTGGCGAAGCCTCGCCGGACACACCCAGCTCACGAGGCGGCAACGAGGCAACACGAGGCAGCAGCGAAGCGGCGGCGTGCGGCAGCATGGTGAAACGTCCCAGCGCACAAGGCGGCAACGAGGCGAAAGCGGGCGACAACATGGCGAAACCTCGCCAGACCCACCCAGCGCACGAGACGGCAACGAGGCAGCAACGGACGGCAATGTGGCGAATCTTCGCCGGATCCAACCAACAATTCCTTAATTAGGGGGACTATTGAGAAACTCAAAGGGCAAACACAATTTGGGGAAATGCTCCCCACGACGGCTGCGGCGGCGGTGACCAGCGACGACGACGACCACGACGACAACGACCACGACGATGACCGCGACGGCGGTGACGACTGCGACGCTGGCGATTTACACGACGATGACCACGACCACGACGGTGCCGACCAAGACGACAACCATGACGGCCGCGCCCCCGTCGACCTGGTGGCCCCCCGCCCACCCTTCTTCGACGCCAAGCGGTTCTCGGATCACATCTCGGGCCTCTGGCGGCCGCTCGGGACGATTCAGGCACTCCCAGAACGCCCTCGGCGAGGCGCAGCTGCCAGAGAGCACCCCGAGGCTGAAGAACCGCCGAGAACCGCGGAAAACGCTAGAAAGCCTCGAAGATCGAAAACGAAGTAGCCTGGTGAAGGACCCAACCACATGCAGTTGTGACTAACACAGTTGTGACCATCGTCTTCGGTGGAGCTTCCTACGGGGGTGCGAAGCGTGTGATGGGGTGTGCCGCAATTGGTGGCGAGGACGCATGCGAACGGTGCCACGGAAACCTTCGGTGGAACTCCGTATGGGGCCACGAAACTTGTGAGGACTGTGCTGCAAAGAGTGTCGGGGGCGCATGCGACTGGTGCCACTGGGACTTTTTGTGGACCCCCTATGGGGCGACGAAACGTGTGAGGGGTGTGCAGCAATGGATGAGGGGGGTGCATGCGCAGTGCGCCACGGGGACCTTCGGTGGAGCTCCCCATGGGGCCACGAAGCGTGTGAAGGGTGTGCCGCAATCGGTGGGGGGGACACATGCGAGCTGCGCCACTGGGAACTTTGGTGGAGCTCCTCATGGGGCGACGAAACGTGTGAGGTGTGTGTGTGTGTGTGTGTGTGTGTGTACCGAAATAAGTGGCGTGGACGAATGCGAGCGGTATGGAGCCACAAAGCGTGTGTGGGGTGCGACGGAACAGAGGCATGCGGAGGCCAGGGGCAGGGATGGGGAGGAGGGGGAAGAGGAGGATGTGGGAGGGACGTCGGGGAGGGAGGGGGGGAGGGAGGAGGGGCGTGGAGGAGGGGCGTGAGGAGGGTGGGAGGGAGGAGGGGGGAGGGAGAGGGAGGGTAGGAGGAGGAGGGAGGGAGGGGGAGGGAGGAGGGGAGGAGGAGGGAGGGGGAGGGGAGGGGGGGAGGGAGGGAGGAGGGAGGGGGGAGGTCGTGGATGGCGGTGTGTTGCGGCGGCTTGTGCGGTGTGGGGGAGTGCTTCGTCCTGCCTCCTCCTCCTCCTCCTCCTCCTCCTCCCTCTCCTCCCCTCCACCTCTTCCTCCTCTTCTCCTCCTGCTCCTCCTCCTCGTCCTCCTCCTCCTCCTCCTCATCCTCCCCTCCTCCCCCCTCTTCCTCCTCCTCTCTCCTCCCTCCTCCTCCTCCTCCTCCTCCTCCTCCTCCTCATCTTCCATCCCTTCCGTAGCCACTTTGGCTCAAGGCCAATATGGTTTCCTCTCCACTGCCTCCACGGGGTAGGCTCCCACGAGCCTCGGCTTTTCGCGCGCTGCCACAATCAGGGGCTTGCAGCGGCCCAAACGCGTTCCTGCTCATTCTTCTGGCTTGGCAGGCGGCCCTCCATGTCTTCCATATCTGCTCGTCGAGCGCTGCTCCGAGCTGCTCGTCGAGCGCTGCTCCGAGCCACGCAGAGAGAAGTGCTGAATCACGTGGTGGTTCCGAGGTGGTCCTGGCCAGTGGCAAGGTTCATCCCAGCGCCCCATCACTCCCTGCGAGTTCTTCGACATCATGTCGGGCGCCTCTTCCGACGAGGAGCGCAGCACCGACCGCAGTCAACAACGTCGCCGTCGTGGGCGCCGTGCAGCCGCTGCCGCTGACACGCTTACCATGATGGCCTCCTCTGGTGCAGCAAGGCAGCGTGCTGCGCGATCTGGCCGATCTTTTGCCCGCCCAGGTTCATCGGGTTCACATACACAAGCAGCCGTCCATCTGCAGCAAGCTGCGCGCGACCTGGGGATGTTCCCCACCTTCCCATCGCAAGCAGAACAGCCAGGAGAAGACCAACGGACTCCGCAAGCGTCTGCCAACCCTGCTGCTGATGGTACTCCCGTTCGACTCCCTGGACTTCCCGACGACCTGGACAACGCTCTCCAGAATCTCATGCAGCAGCAGATCTCCCACGCCGCCGCCACTTTCAAGCAGCAGGCCGACATCCTACTGGAACAGTCGCGCGACAGTTTCCGCCAGCTTCTCCAACAACGAGTTCTTCAGACTGGGCGCCGTGTGGACAGCCTCCAGGACCAGCTGGCCCGCACCAAGCGTGAGCAGGACAAGCAAGCCGAGGATCAGCGCAGGATGTGGACTCAGCTCGACAAGCTGCGCGACACGATCGT